GGTACCGGGCGGGACGGAAACCCCAACAAGCCAGCCCTCATGTTACACTGGACATTTTGTTTTGAGGACTTTTGTATCAGGCTTTTTCTTTTGGGCCACCAACCAGCTCCCAAATCATGACATGGAAACTTAATATTAGTTATAAATGTTTGGCCTTATATTTTATGCTCATTTCTTGCTAGCATTTATAACTTAACCTGTTTCTCCTTATCTATGTTTTACCTCATGACTTTTTACTTTTCTTTCCTTCTGTGTGTCCAACTCCATCTAGCTAGCTGGTGGCTGCCTGACTGGCTGGTCCCAGGCATCTCCCACTCTTTCTCCCTCATTCTCTTCTCTCAAACCTAGATTTCTCCTCCTATTTATCCTCTCTGCTCACCAGCCCCACCTATCCTTTCTCTGCCTAGCTATTGGCTGTTCAGCTCTTTATTAGGTCAATCAGGTGCCTTAGGCAGGCAAGGTGAAACAAATGCAGCATATCTTTACATAATTAAGCAAATGCAGCATAAACAAATGTAACACAGCTTTGAACAGTTAAAGTAATATTCTGCAGCATGAACAAATGTAAGGTTGTTGGAGGAAGTGAGCCTCTTGTTCATTCACAGCTGTGGGATTCAGTTGCTGTTCTCCCTTCCAGCAGAGGAAAAGAGGCCGGACACACACTTTACATTGGCATAAACAGTATAAGAGGCCACGCACCAGTGAGCAGGTACCACAAAGCCTACTGGCTGTAGGATTTCCTACAGCACCATATTTGCTCAGTTAAAATAATATTTCACAATAGACTTTGATATTTGTCTTTGCATTGTTTTGGGCTTTGTTGAGACAGGGTTCACTTTGCAGATTTAGTTGGCCTGGACTCACTATGTAGAGACTAATCTTTAGTTTGTGTCAGTCTCCTGCTTTGGCTTTCCAAGTGCTGGAATTACAGGTATGCACCACTATACCAGCATTATTTTTTAGACAGGTTCAGGCTATATAGCCTAGGCTAGCCTGAAGCTGACTATGTAGGCCAAGATGTTCTCAAATGCTCAAGAGGATAATATTTTTAAACAACCCCAACTGTAAGGTGGCACATACCTGTAATTCTATTCACCACTCAGAAGCTTGAAGCAGAAGGATTGTCTCTACTTCAAAACTTGCCTGAAAGGTAAGCAAGCTTAGGCACAGCCCAGAAACCTCTGGCACCTCTCCACTCTAGGACCACACCCAGTACCTCCTTCCTGTGGGTAATTTGAGGTCAGACAGTTTCTGGTAAAGGAAGAGAGAGATGAGCATAGCTTAAGCCAGAAGTTAGTATGAGTACTGTGAAGGCCAGTCTGTTCTTGAAATGACCTGTCAGAGGAAAACCCCTGCTAACCATTTCACACATATGCATGACCGGACGTACATGTGCTTAGAATATGGGATATATCACCTAAAAGTCATGTAGACATTCATCTGTCAGTCAGAGTAAGGACCAACACCATTCCCACCCCTGACGTTCGGCTGGGAAGGAACTTAAGGGACTTAAGCCACAAGTTTGCTGAAAGCCTCCTCCCATGTAGTCCCATGAGATTTTTGCTTGTTGTTGTTGAATTTTGTTTATTTTTAAACAGGCTCTCTCTCAGTAGCTCAGACTATCTTGAAACTCAGGAAACCAGGCTGGTCTTGGACCACCTGGTGATACACCTGCTTCAGCCTCATGTACTGAGATTATCAGTGTGAGCCACCATGCCCAGCATCTTACTCTTGCTTGAAATGAATCTATGTGGGGATTCGTGGTTTTTAAAATATATACTTTAACTACTGCTATACCATATCTTGTCCAAGTCTTATGATACAGTGAACTTGGACATTATACTCTGGACTACCCTGGAATCCTTTTGATATCACCTGGGCTACATAGCAAGTACCAGGCCAGATTGGACTATATAGAAATATCCTGTCTCAAAAATTCAAAAGAAAGGGAAAAATTCTCAGAAGCTTCAGCAGGGCCTGATAACACAGGACTGTAGTTCTAGAAGCCCATGAAACTAACTTCTCAAGACCCACTTGTGTTAAGGGATTTCCACATTCTTGTCTTCTCAAAGGAAAGAATTCAATCAAAAGACACAGATCATTTAAGCCCAGCTTTACTTAGAAAAGCAAAGTCTGCACTCCAGAGATGTGAACTGGATGTCCCAAAGTGGGTACTTAGAACACTTCATTGTGGAGTATTAAGAGTGTCCTTATGAATATTTATGATGTGTGTTGCATATTCATATAGGTAAGGTGACCCTTTTGCTTCTCCCAAATCACAGTAGATTGATTGGATTGCTTTTAAGGGTATTACTTTTTATGATCTTCTACAAAAGGCCACAAAAAGGGGGGTAAAGTCACGATATCAATAAAACAATAAAGTCAAGGCATTTTTTAACATTCTGTGTGTGTGTGTGTGTGTGTGTGTGTGTGTGTGTGTACATCCATGTTACTGTGCTCCCACACTAAGGCACATCTGTGGAAGTCAGGGAACAACATTCTTTCTCTCCACAATATGGGTCCTAGGAACCAAACGAAGGTTGTCAGAATCGAAACCAAATGCCTTTGCCCACTGAGCCATCATCTTACCAGCCTGAAGCCAAGGTCTTTTGAGGATACTGACCTTCATTAGTGAGTATGTGTGGGGAAATGCCCCGACAACATCGTTTTTGATAGAGAAGTGTTATTGGGGTGTGAGTACTTAGATGCACTTCTTGAACACTGGAGATGGAAGGGCATAGTGGGGGTTGGAGGATCAATGGAGGGGGAGGGAAGGAGAATCAACTAAAACTATGTATGAAAATGCCATAAATAAATCTGTTATAATAATAATAATAAGTTTTAAAATGAAGATTATTACAGTGTGGGGGATTAGGAAGTTAACTGAGAAAAAATGGATTTATTTACAATTTGGCCAAAAATGGGAGAAAAAAAATTCACACCTGTTCTATAGCAGCTTTATAATTTTATTTATTTATTTATTTATTTATTTATTTTACAATGAAAGCCCGTCTCTGAGTCTTTATTGTCCCGCCTGTATTCTCATTACAGCAGCAGCCCATGTCTCCTCCACACCCTTCCGTCTGGACCTGCCACAGCAGGAGCCTCCCCACCCCACCCTGAGGCCCTTATCTGAGTCATTCTACCCTCCCCTCCCCCACCTCTGGGGTCCAATAGATTATCCCAGCCAGGTGGCAGAGGAAAGCAGCCACAAGCTGCCAACCACATTTGTCCAGGCTCTGTCCTCCACCCAGAAGGAAGGTAAGTGGACAAGGCTCCAATAAGAAGACAGCTGCTTATAAAGGCAGCCTCAGTCCCTGCTGAAACGAGTGCGTGCTGTTTACGCGAACCCTGGCTCAGGAGGCTCAGTTAGAGTGGAATGGAGGATGATTAAGCCGTACCAGCAGACCAGGTCATGTGGGGGGACCTGAAGGTAGTGGCCGAATGGAATGGTTCTGGAAGCTGCCCCAGCACTACTGCTCCTTTTTCTGTTTGTGGGGAGGCTTTGCATTCCAGTAGAAGAGAACCTGGGCAGCAATGAGGCCATTGCAGAGGGAAGAGACCACAAAGACTCCAGCCATGAGGGGGTCTCCAGTTTCCTGAACAGAAGAGAAGATTCGGGCCAAAGAGCCCCCAAACAGCATAAACACTGTGATAGCGGAAAGCTGGCCCGTGCGCCCATTATGGTAGTTGGTGGCTGCCTGAAGCAACTTCCCCACCACCACTGCAGGCACATTGGAGGCCTGGAGCAGGGTGACTACAGCCAGAGGCGTGAGTGGGGAGAGCAGCGCCAGCAGGAGCATCGCATAGCAGGCAAGGAAAGCAATGCCTTTGACGGTCTCTCCTCTGTAGTGCATGACCAGGAAGCAGATGGCAATTGTCTGGAGTGTCAGGAACAGTGCTTCACCCCAAGAGCTGAAGGGGAAGTTGGTGGTGATGCTGTAGACCACAGTTCCAGTCAACATCATGAGCTCTAGCATCACTGACTGGAGACTCAGTCCTTCGGCACTCTTGGCTCCCAAAATTTTAAAGATCTGGGGGCAGCTTTTCCAGGAGTGACCCAGCCACGATGCCCAGCCCAAGGCCTTTGCTGAGGAGAATCTTGAGGCAGGAAACTTGTAGACCAGGCTGTCCTTGAACTCAGAGACCCTCCAACCTCTGCTGAAATTAAACGGAAGGGAGAGCTTTATAATTTTATAGGAGAGATGACACAAGGCCAAGAAATTGGCGTATTGTCAGAACTATATGAATTCTCATCCTAGTAGACAAGAAACTCCCCTTGCTGGTACCAGGATTTCAACCTTTCTCTTCCAGCATGAGAATTCTTGGGGAAATTTTTATTCTTTTGGATCTGTTGTTTCAATAGCCTGATAGACAAAGTGGAGACACACAAACATCTCTCTGCAGTTACAGCAGGAGCCAGCTATCTACAGCCTTAAGAACATTAAGTCATTAAAGGGAATTCTGGCCTTCAGGAGGTACAGCTTCTAAAGTGCGGCTTCAGTTCTCCTAGTGACTTCATAGCTACCTCCTTTATGAGATTGCTCAAGGTCTCATGATTGAGTTTGTACCTGCCTGTGAGTTAAGAAATTTTTGTTGTTGTTGTTGTTGTTTGGTTGGTTGGTTTTTGGTTTTTCTTTTTTGTTTTCTTGTTCTTTTTTAATTATGAACTAGTGTGAGAAGTTTTCGGTTTTTAGAGACAGAATTTTTCTGTGTAACAGTCCTGGCTGTCCTGGAACTTGCTTTGAAGATCAGGCTGGACTTGAAGTTGTAGAGACCTGCCTGCCTCTCTCTAATACATTAAATAATAATACATTATATACATTATACATTAATAATACATTAATCTAATAATTAAAGGCGTGTATCACCATGCCCAGCCTCATTTTGTTATTTTTTTTTAATATTTGAAGCTTCATTATGAAAACTGGGTAGTGGGGTTCTTTGTTATTGTTTTTTGTTTTTGATTTTTTTTTTTTGGTTTTTTGAGACCGGGTTCTTCTGTAGCTTTGGAGCCCATCATGGAACTAGCTTTTGTAGACCAGGCTGGCCCCGAACACACAGAGATCCACTTGCCTCCTTAACTTGAAGGCTCAGAGTCTCTTTTTCCTTGTATAGATTTTTTTGTCACTGAGGTAGGCAGAACTCTGTGAGGGTTTTTTTTTTTGGTTTTGTTTGTTTGTTTTTCATTTTTTTTTCAAGACAGGGTTTCTCTGTGGATTTGGAGCCTGTCCTGGAACTAGCTCTTATAGACTAGGCTGGTCTCGAACTCACAGAGATCCACCTGCCTCTGCTTCCCAAGTGCTGGGATTAAAGGTGTGTGCCATCACCGCCGGGCTAGAACTCTGTGAGTTTAAGGCCAATCTGGTCTACATAATGAGTTACAGGACAGCTAGAAATATAGACAGACTCTCTCTCAAAAACTAAAACAACATAATAATTAATAATAATAATATATAACTATGTGTGTGTGTTTTCAAAGGACAGCTTTATGCTTTATGTTCACCTTTATTATAGAATCTGGAGATTGAATTCAGGTTTCTTTTTTTCTTTTCTTTTTGGTTTTTCGAGACAGGGTTTCTCTGAGTAACAGCTCTGACTGTCCTGGAACCCACTTTGTAGACCAGGTTGACCTCAAATTCACAGAGATCTCCCTGCCTCTGCCTTCCAAGTGCTGATATTAAAGGTGTGTGCCACTACTACCTGGTGTGGACTCAGGTTTCTATAGCAAGATCTTTATTGCTGAACGATCTCATGGGCCCTGGGACTTCCTTTTTTTGTTGAGACATCCGGACAGACTAAAGGCCCTGGGAAGAGAAATCTTATCACATTCTTTCACCATGAAACACCCACAGACGTGGCATGTAGAAATCGCTTGCACTCACATAGACATCAAGTGAGAGTTAAGAAACCGTCAGATAGACCAAGCAGATAAAAATAAAACCACAAAGGCTCTGTAATTTAAATGGAGCACAACATGAAAACTAGGTCAAAACCTGCATGCTATATCTAAACTGGGTAACTGACTACTAAAATAAAACATTAAAATAAGACTCGTGGTGGGGTTGTTGCCTTTGTGATAGAGCTCTTGCTTAGCATGCATGAAGTTCAGACAAAAGGGGAAACAGGACAAGCAAGCAAGCAGGATCCAGACCCTTATTCTCTCTGCTCTTGACAGGATGTGATGTGACTAGCGGCTTAAGTCCCTGCCTTGATGTCCCCAAAATGATGGACTGTAACATGGAATTATAAGCTGAACCAGCTCTTTCCTTTCCTAAATTTCCTTTGCTCAGGGTATTTTATCAGAGTAACAGAAATGAAACTAGAAAAGATACGAAGCAGGGAATCGAATTTAAGTCTGACTCTCGTAATTTACAAGGATAAAACTCCAGATAGATCCCAGTACTAGTGGGCAAAAGCAGAAGGATCTGAGTACAAGACCAGTCCAAGCTACAATAGCATGGCCATGTCTCAAGAAACAAAGATGAAAACAAAAACAAAAAAAAGAGAATGGAAATGTGGAAATGGCTCTTGTTGCACCAGCACCAGTACTTGAGTTCAAATCCATAACATCTGCATAAACATGTGTCTGCAACCTTAATGTTATGAGCATCAAAGACTGAATCAGTGGAGCTTGCTGGCCACTAGCCTAGCTCCAAGTCTTAATGAGGCAGAAGGTGATGCAAGTACATGTGATGTACTCTTCTCCTCTGGCCTCCACACATGCACTTATGTCCCCTTCACACACATTTAGATATACCACATATGCGCACACACACACACACACACACACACACACACACACACACACACACACAAAAGAAAAGAGAAATAATTCTAAGTGGAAAAATGGAGGATGAGCAGTCAGGCTGGCAAGGGAGAAATCTGAGCTGGGACGGAGCAATTGCTAAGCATTTTGTTTGCACTGTTAAGGAATTCAAACTTTTCACTAAAAAATACAAAAATAATCCTTACTTTAGACTAGTGGGAATGGCATAATCACTATGTACCTTGAGGTCAACCAGTCTGATGTTAGTGTGACTTGTGCATTTTGGCTAAATATATGCAAAGCTTTTACTAGCTAGTATCCATCCTGAACTCCTTAAAGGTCTGTCTTTGTTTCTGCTATCATGCTGTAGGCAGACTCCAGGCTAGATAGCCCGGCAGCTTCCAGGTCATACTTTTGTTTCCATTTTGCCTAGAGGTTGGGACTGCAGATGCACTCTGTCACATCCAGCTTTTTACACAAATTTCTCAAATTCCAGACATTGAAACTGGGTCATTGGGCTTGAACAGATAAGACACTTATCCACTAGGCCATCTCCCAAAACACCCCATATCCTTCGATAAGAGAGGTATGTGCAAGGTGGCTCCAGAGCTGCCCCAGGTGGAACTACAATCTGATAAAGTAAAAAGTACTAGGTTGTCCAGCATCCTCTCCCAGTAAGTGGAGCCTTTGGCGAGATTCCTAGAAAACTGCAGGTTTGTGGCTGGGAAGGGAGAAAAGCCTGAAGCAGTTAATTTGTGCTGGAATTCCTTCCTGCTCCACAGCTAACAAAATATTCCAGGGGGAGAAACTTCTCTGTGTCTTCTCATACTTGCCTAATGTTCCTACATTCCTCTCCTGTCTCACACTGGGACAGTAGTGAATGCTGAAGGTAAACCCAGAGGACAGACTGTACCCCACGGTAAAAGAAGTTAGAGAAATTTTTACTAAACATATGTAAAGCCTTTATTATATCCATTCTGAACTTTTGAAAGTAATTTCCCGGAACTACTTGACAGGAGGCTAATTCCCTTCCCATAGGGTAAAGAATTCTTTCCTAAATTCTTTTTCTGAGTGAGCTCTGAAGAGGAAGGCAATGAATAACAGCATGAAGAAACCCTCTGTTGACATGGCAACAACATGCATGAGAAGATGAGACTAATAGCGTGTGGAGTTAGAAAAATGATGCCTGCAGACAAAGCCTGAGAATAGGAATGTGCATTAGGAAGGACTAGATGGGGTAATCATAGTGCCACAGGATTGTTTGGGTAAATTATCTTCAATAATTCACATCTTCCCAAGCTGGTTCCTTCTTAAAAAAATAAAACAAAACAAAACAAAACAAAAAACCCAAACTAGTGCCAGGGAATCCACAAAGAAAGATGACCCCAGCTAAGACTCCTACCAATAGTAGAGAGGGTGCCTGAACTGACCTTCCCTTATGATCAGATTAGTGATTACCCCAACTGTCATCAGAGAGCCTACATCCAGCAACTGACGGAAACAGATGCAGAGACCTACAGCCAGGCACTGGGCCGAGCTTGGGGAATCCTTCTGAAGAAGAGAGGGAGGAAGGATTGTAGAGTTGAGGGGTCAAGGACATCATAAGAAAATTCACAGAAACAACCAGGGACCCTGCATGGGACTGACCTAGTACTTCTACACAGAGAAATCTTGTAGCCCTGGCTGTCCTTGAACTCTCTCTGTGGACCAAGCTGGCCTCAAACTCAGAGATCAGCCTGCCCCTGCCTTCTAAATGCTGAGGTTAAATGCATGCAGCACTATTCCGGCTGTTTTATTCTTTTAAAAATGTTAGTTGGGCGGTGGTGGCACACACCTTTAATCCCAGCACTTGGGAGTTCAAGGCCAGCCTGGTCTATCTAAGCTAGTTCCAGGACAGGTTCCAAAACTACAGAGAAAAAAAAGTTTTATTGGTATGCATTAATTACACATAATAATAGGTTTTATTATGACATTTTCATTCGTGTAGATAATGTATTTCAATCCTGTTCTCTCCTAGCACCCTGTAGAGTACCTTCTAGCACTATGAGAATTAGCGTGGAGGAAGCTTCCAGCCCAGATCTGTCTTGATTTCTGTCTTATGACTAAGGCAAGTGACATCTTCAAAATTTGGTCTTTCCCATCTAGTTCTACTGAGAAACCAACAACAGTGGCAATTGCCTACATTGTTGAGGCCTCAGGGACCTTCCTGTTCAGCAAGTTATAGGGAGTGAGTCTACCCCTGGCATTAGAACTTTTGTTTCATAACCTATGGTTTCTGGGAGCAGTTTTATTTACCCTCCCAGGTTATCTCTGCTCAAACTCTCACGGTTTTTTTTTTATAATTGTTATTTTTAATTGTCTCACTCTTCTCTTACTGCAAAGCTTTATTTTGTGTATGTGAAGGATGGCATGCATTACATGGC